GAATTTTCGAATGATGAAAATTAAAATTCTATCGCAATTTTGACTGACGATAATCTTACAGTATTATCAAGATAACACACTCCTCTGAAAAATAACACCGCTTGGCTGTAAATAACCGTTTTGAAGTGAGCTAAGCCTGGTCGCCGGGTAAGTCAAGTCATTTTACCCTGCTGATTCTGAATCTGTTTACGAAACATCCTCTGAGAATGTTTTGCTCTGAGCATATTACATTTCGATCAATAAATGCTTCTGGAGCGGTGACGTCGCGATTCAACGGTCAATTTCGATCAGAGCGAACAGCGAAGAGATATGAAGATCAGCAAAAAGATGCATTTTAATCGCATGCAACTGCCTGATGGAATAAAGAAACATAACCATTGGATGATGTTGATTTGCGATGAGCAGTCAAGCAAAAATAAACAAAACACAAACATATGAATGAATAATCATCATTGCGATCAAATTATTACAATAACGCACCTCTGACACGAAACATTTGCGTCTGGAAGGGAAAAGGGATGCATCGAATGGAATGAGAATATTAACATTCGAATCTGAGTGCTGGTGGGGGACCTGAAGCCATCAGTGTTATCAGCTGAATCCTTGGTGCAGTCATTGGACAGTTTGCAGCCACTCTCGATGCTGCACTGAGACGATCGGACAAGAACGACGACAGGATCATCCACGCTTTGACCGTATCTTTATGATTCCTTCCTGGTGCTATCCATTCGGAAACTGTTGTCACAATTGCTTCACCAAATGCATCCCAATGTTTACTCCTGAATGAAGAACATGCACTACTTATTATAACATTGATTTTATTAATACGCAGAGTTTTGTGAGTCTGGATCGTTGGAAAATATGCTGCTGAATGCAAAATGTCGCCAGCAACTGCTTAAGGTAGCACTGATAGATTCATTCCTCTTGATCAAAATTATGTTTTGACTTATCGATTACTAGAAATGAATCTTCTGAAAATGCATCGTAACAACAACCGAACCAAGCACCTTATCGAGAATCCACCATGTCCTTTGCCCAATAAATCTAACCACGGATGAAGCGCCTCTTCCATATCGTTCAGGTTGTCAACGACACACTGCAGCAGTCCCAAAAAATGGCGCATATGTCGATCAGCTGCATTGTTATCGCCGCCAAACATTGTCCTCATATCCGGACTTCTTGATATCATATGTGCGTAAATGGATTTACCAACTGCTGAGTGCGGTACACGATGCCAAGAACGTCTTAATAAAGTAGTCTCTTTTAAGTTGGTGATCGACTTCGATCGTGAGTGCATTAACTTCTGACACCAAGCAAATGACACTAACACGCTTCAATCTTTATTTATGAATCGGAAAATGCTTTGGTGCGTTGGTTGAAAATTTTGAGATCTGACTTTTCTTCTCTGGACGTTAAACACTGTGTCGCTCATTTGAATTCGATTGACATGATAATGTATTCGATCATTCGGAAATAGTCAGCTAAGTGCAAAACTGAGTGCCATGAATTATGTGAGAATCGATCTTGCTCATTGAGTGGTTTGTCGTTCATTTCGGTTTCACTTTTCACTGACACATTCGTAGAAATCATTGTGTGAAGAATTAGCAGAAATCAATAAGGAAAATTTCAGTATGCTTCGAAGCAGAAAAGAAGGAGATGACGTGCTTGTTGAATGTAGGTGCTATACGATGAGGTAACGTTAATTGGTCGAATGAAACAGAACAACGAGCGAAAGAAATAATAGCAATTATGAATAATGAATGAACGATCCTACATGCTCTTGATTACATAAGAATCAGCAATCACCTTCTGATAACAAACTGTTTGCTTGCTATTATATACTCTTGATTTACTTCTTAACTCAAAATTACGTCAAATTGTCCAATCAAATTTATGAAAACGTACTTTATCGCAGAGCGAAATCCTTTCATAAACTCAAACACTTTGTTTCTGGTTCAGTC